CCCTCCTGCCGTCCCTCTCCACTCTGGTGCGAGTGTGCCTTCTGCCCATCCTCCCTCCTGCCGTCCCCCCCAATGCTGCCCCATGGAGCACAGCGCTCTCCCCTAGCAAACATGGTTCGTTTGAGGCCCTCACTTCTCCCTGCCTTCTCACACTCATTGCTACTCAAAAAGCATCATATCAGTAAAAGTTATATTTGGGTTACTATGCATTGTAGAACAAGGGCATGAAACCTAAGGTATCAACAATGCATAATGCCTTTGAAAGCAGAATAATAGCAGTCCCTTCCTCACAGCAACAATCTGGTGAAATAGGTGAGGCTTAGAGATTCCCCAGTGAGCTCACCCAGTGAGGGTAGACTATGGAGTTAAGTCTCACCAGTTCTTATCCAATGTCTTAACCATTACACCATATTGGATCTGTAGGTGCGGCTCCAAGAACTTCTCCAAAATTTGTCACAAATTAGTAATTTTAGCATGACACACAGAGTAATCATATTGACTGTATTTAAATAATTACTCTTAACTTAAAGTGAAATTAAATTTAGTTTGTCATGGCCTTCCCTAATTTCCTTCAAAAACCAAGTGTGACCCTCAACCTGAAAAGAAATTGCACATTGTGCTTTACAGTATCTCTCTCCTGCAGTTGACTGGATTTCAAAGGAGGTCATTTGACCAGAGTTTTCAGTTATAAATTTGGCCAATTGGTTTGGATATGGAAGAAAATATGATTTAATACTATAACCTACTCAATCTCTTCTGATATTTTCTTTATAGCCTTTATCAAAAATAAGAATGATAGTCCTTGAATGAGCTTTTTACAAAAACACCCATTAGAATTTTTCTCTTTTTCCCCTCCTTATTCCCAGTCTATCTGTTCCATTTCTCACATATCTTTTCTTTGTTCATACAGAGAAGGTAATGTTTAGGTGTAACATGATTAAATGTTTTGTTTAGAACAACACCAAGGAAGATGCTGGCCCTCTGTTTAGAGGTCCCTGAAGCTGCCCTTGTATGAAAAGGAACATGGGGACATAAGGAGATACAGGTAGGAAAGCATATATAACCTTGCACAGTCAATTGGATATTATAGTCTTTTGTAATAATTTACAATCTTAAATGTTTCTCTATCACCATGAAGGATTTTTTAAGTGCTTAAAAAGGTGAATTTAAACAATGTCAAACATTGAAGCTAATACCAGACAGAATTGAAGAAGCCCTGATGAGTTCATGAATCATGTTGGCTGCACAGTAGATAGGAGATAGAAAAATGCCAGTCCAACCAGCTAGTGAATGACATGCTGCAGGGAAGGTCATGTTGGTCTGATTGTCTCCTGGTACTGCTGCATTCATGCCAAGAATCCATGAGTGCTTCTGTGATTGTATCAGGCAGCCTTTATTAAGAGCAATCCCTTCTCTCAACTGGGCTAATAGCATAGAATCATAGAGATAAAGTCCACTCCAGGCTTCTAGTTCAAACCCCAATCTCATGCAGAATCCAGCTACAGCACATTTGACTGAGGGCAGTCCACCCTCTGCTTAAACATTGTCTTAAGCTGTCTCTTCCCCTGTCAAAACTTCTTACCTTTAAGGAAGTGTCTTCTTTCTTCAGCAGAAATCTACTTCCCTGTAATTTCTACCTTTTGGTTTTAGTCCTGCCCTTGGGATCAACAGAAGACGAGTTTTTCACTATCTTCTCTGTGAAAGAACCTGGGATAGCTGAATACTGCTATCAAGGCTTCCCTTACAGCTAAACATACATCTATCCTCAACAGATTCTTTTTCAGAGGAAGAACTGAAGCTCTCCAAGTTAGGCTTGAACAGCAAGTTGCTCCTATGGCAGAAATGGGAAGATCTTCTACTGAATTAAATTCCTTTTGGACCTGCTCTTTATATCTGCTTCTGATGTTGAATCACAAGATGACCTGCTACTTAGTACTGGACAACGTAGGATATAAACTCAATTGAAGGGTGAGTAAAGGAGTGCATTCTTGAGAAACAGAATTTTTCATGAGTAATAGACCTCTCATAAGTAAAACCTTTCTCAGCCACAGAAGCATCTGCAAACATTCTCTGATATTTGCATCTGAGCCTTGGGTGCGGACTCCAAGAATTTGACTTTAAATATCTCCTTTCAGATTTCTAGCTGTTGGAGAAATATGCTTGCTTTGCCTTATCAGCTGTCTGTCCTTCTATCAGGGTCATTATGCAGGACACTTGAACTTTGTATCTGCTGGCCAGGTGTACTTCTGCTTTAAGTAAGGTACCCTACTCTTTTAATGGCCTTTGATTATCTTCAGGGAAAAATGTGAGTTTGTTAATGTTCTTCTAGAAATACAGTTCCCTGATTCAAATGCAGTAATTCAGGGGCAGCTGGATCTGTGCAGAATAGAGGGTGTTTTTTATTTAGATGCTATGCTTCTGTGATGTAACGTAATGTATTTTGTGTTAACTTTTTTAGCAGATATGTTGCACTGCAGCTTTTTGTTCAGCAGCTTGTGATCAACTAAAATGTCTAGTATAGCTGTGAAAAGCATTTGAAACAGATGTTTCACAAAGGTGGGTTAGCATGAAGGAAGCCCCACTTTTCAGGGTTTCAAAAGTGTGCTAGTTGCAACTGCGTATATCAAAAACATTTCTGCTAGGATCAGTGGCTCTGCACGCAGAGAGCACTGGGAACAGCTTTCGAAGCAACCTCAGGTTTTGCAAAGGGCGTAGCTGCTTTAACACTTTGAAGAAAGGTTGTTTGTTTATGCTACTACCTACAGCAAAGCACCTCTTCAAATGATTTGCATAACCCTAATGTTTAATTGTGTTTTATGTGTCCTGCTATCCACTCAGTTCTCATTTGTACCATTGTTTTTTTAAAAAATAAATAAATTCAGGACAGTATATTTCCGTTAAATATCCTTTAGATAGTTTGGGCCCAGCACTCAAACCTGTCAAGATTCTAGAAATATAATGCTGTCTTGTTTGGTATTAATCATTCCTTCTAGGTTCATGTTACCTGAACATTTGGTTAACATTCATCCAAATCATTTATAAAAACTGCACAGGGCTTCAAACAGAACCCAGTAACCTGCCATTTAAGCCTTTCCTCCATGCTGAAAGAAAGATATTGGTAAGTAGGCCTAGCATAGAATTAAAAGCAGCAATGACTTTTACCAACTTATCAAGAAGGATATTATGATAAATATTGTCAGAAGTTTTGTTGAAAATAAAGTAAACTGACTAGTGTTTTTCACAACTTGAAACCAGCAGACTGTCTGGTACGGATAACTTCATCTGAATGTCTGCAGTCTCCTACAATCTTACTTCTAAATCATTTGTAAACTGTCCAGAGTCACTGGGAGTCAGGTGGCATATAAATCTAAGAAATAATAACAATAAATACAGACTCCACAGTCTCAACACTAAGCATTTCCACCTCACTACCCCCCATTTTTTGTTTATTTACTATCATTGCTAATGAAAAATTCTGCAAAAACTTGAAAGTTTGCACTCTATTACATGAACTTCATGTTGTCCTCATAACTGTTTTTCCCTAATACGGAATTTGAAATCTATTGCAAAGGGAGATAAGGCTGGCTGAGATTACTTTTTTATATGGTTTCTACTAATGATTTCTTTTTCTAAACTCTCACAATCCAACTGCTTAATATTGTAGTCTCTTTCAGAATTTCACTCAGTATTAACTTTAACCTATCATTTCTGGGATTTGCTTTTTCCACCTTTTTGGATTTAAGAACATGTGTGTATATCTTCAGTTTTTCAACCTCTCACCTACTCACCAATAATACTGATTGAAAGTTCTTTCAACGTAATGGTTATAGAGTAATGTGACTGGCATTGGAGATGTTAGTTTCTCCAAAGCAGCCAATCTGCACTCACCTTCCCCATATTTTTTATTCCAGACAAACCCAGCCCCCCTCCCCCTGCCCCTTCTTGTTAGAGCAGTTCTCTGAAGGAAAGAGCATGGCTCTGAATGCTTACGGCTCATAGATCCTTAGAGGAACCACCCAAACAACCAGATGATCAGAGCTTTTCAGGGCTAGTCTGGTCTTTGAGGATTTCAAATTCTTCTCTGGGCATTGTCCACCTGGTAGAATTATTCTTATTTGTGAAATCTTCCTTTATCTTGGCAAAGAGTTAATACTTAAACACGGAATTGCAAATAGTGGGTTTTTCAGTTCACTTCTGTTGAATTCCAATTTACATGGGTGCTCTGAGGAATGAAAAATAGATCATATAACTGAGAAGGGCTTGTGTCATGTTGAAATGGATATTCTTGTACTTTTATTCCATTTGGAGATCAAATGCAGGCTTAAAAAGAAGATTAGAGATGAATAGCAGAGACAGCAGGAGTTGAGGCACACTAGAAGAAGAGTTTATTGCCTCTGATTTGAATACTTTTCAGGATTTTAACTGTCAGGTCTGAGTGAAACAATGTAGTCTTTTCAGAATCCTGCCATGAACCTTGTGCAATAAGGAGGAATCTCTTCAGACCTGGAAAGGATGCGGTGGGATGGTGATGTTTATGGGGTGGAAGAAAGAGCTGATCACGTCCTTTAGAATTTTTTGCAGTATAATCATGACAGGGACCTACTGTTGCAGATTCTCCCTGATTTGGGTGAGAGGTGTCCACCCAAGTGGATGTTTTTGGCAAAATGAGTGTCACACCGTCAGCTCTGCCCCTTTCATACCTGTGTGCAACACCACAACGTACATTCAAAAAGAGTAGAGCTGGTGTTATGATGGCATGACACTCTTTTCATCATTTTGTCCAACTCACTGGAACTACAGTGTTGGCTTCATCCTTTACCTCCCTCCCTTGATCACCCTGGCTGATACCTCTCATCTGGGTATTCAACTTCCTTCTTTAAGAACAATACTTAGTGAGAGAATGATTCAAAAGGCTGCTTTGCAGCTCCCTTGGTTATTTTTGCAGGACTCTGGTTCTTTCAGTAGATGGAGATAATAGGGCCTCTCCTGGCCTTGCTTCACTATTACCCTGAGGAGAAAAGGAGTTAAGACCCTGCCATGAGAAAAGGACCAGATGTCCCTTACCTGCAAACTATTTTTCAGGTGCAGATTCCAGATAAAGTAAGTTTTAATTAGCTAATTCTAGGTTTCATTTTATTTTAAAAGCAAGTGATAATTTCTGAACAATGCTCTGCTTGGTTCTTGAATAAATATCCTCAACTGGAAACTGAATTAGTTCCTTTGCCTAACCTGAAGGTTGATTTTGCTCATTTTATGCTGTACATGTTCACATTTTTTTTCAGAGATGAAACAAAACTCTGGAAACAAAGGCATATTCATCTGCAAAAGTGTAGAAGCCTAAACTTCCCTACAGCTTTACATCTGAAGGTTAAAAATGGAGGTTCCCATTTACCATAGCCTCTGAATGCCAAAATAGAGCTGCCTTTCTGAAACATCAAGGCACCTGGAAGCCTAGTTAGAAGACCTCACAGCTATCTTTTCTGTCAGCAAGGGGGGGGCCTTGTATCTTTTTCTCTTGCAAGTGTAAAAACTGTTGGGAAAAATAACATGTAGTTTGTCCCCACCATTTGAGTTTTATGCTGCAGTGTGTTTCTGAGGAAGAAATATCTAAAAAAATAGTCACAAAAAGTAGGAGTCATGTACAACTCTACCTTCAATGAGTTTCACCTGTATGATATGGCAGGAACATTATTCTGCACTTATCCCTCTGTGACCACCAATTTCTCAATTCCTCAGTGATCAGAAGGGAGGGAATTCCCCTTAAAAGCTGCATTCATACAATATACTGAACCACAGAGTAGCCATCCCCATTTCAGCCTAAGGTTTAATGAACCCAGCCCTATGGTTAGTTTGTGTTCCCATGTGATCTGTGAACTTAGAAAACTGATCTGAGTAACCATAGTTGAATTAGCAGATGAGCTAATTCTTGTGATGGGACCCTACTGATAGGGGAAACAGAAAAAATACTTTTATTGGAGCCTGCAGGCAGTTTCACAGCTCGTTTATGTATGTTATTTATTTTTAACATACTGTATAGGAAACTACCTACACATATAAGGAAAGCAGAAAGTATTTGTAGGTTTCTATAGATAATGTTTAACATCCATATTCAAGCTGTAGTATGGTTTCCTTGCTGTGTGTGTTGTGTGAATGAAGCCATGTCCTATAGCTGGGCAAAATGTATAAACCCAATTGTTATTTCACTGGGTACAAATCCCTGTTGAGAACTTAGAGACAACAGTGGCACCATATTATTTATATACATAGCATAATCATGAGTAGACCACAGAAAACCCCTATGCAGGGTTTACTCACTTTGTTCTACAAAATACAATTTCATCATTTCCCCATGCTTGAGATGCAGTAATGCACAAGGGGGAGCAGGACTGCACTTCTGAATCCTACCACAATCTGCTAATGTCCTGTATCCACCCAGGGCTGGCTGCAGAAATGTCTGGGTTCTGCCCCCTACCCCCCTTTGGATTTTTTGTTCCTCACCCTCATAAGAAGGATGGAGTACAAACCTCCCCCCTGTTGTGCTTGTGGCCATTTCCCACTGAAAGGCTGCTTCTCGCCTCCTCTACCACCCAGCTTATGTTTCATGATGTGGTGTGGTGGGGAAGCAAAAAGGAGAGGAGACCTAAATCACCTGGAAGGCAAGGAAGGTGGTGACAAAACAGAGGAAAGCCATGGCAGCATCAGAGGGACCTTGGTGTGGCAAGGCTCTGTGAGTGGAGTGGTGGAAGTCAAAAGCAGCCATTTTTAGGCAGCTGACTCAACGTGTTGAAATGGGGTTTGTGATCCTATCCCTTCCCCTCAATGCATTTGCCATACATGGAGAGCAAAGACCAAAGAGGACTTGGTCTGAGTCACAAATGTATCTCTTGCTTGACTTTCTTCAACTCTCACTGGAAAGTGCTGGGGAGTTATTCCTAAATCCGGCTCATTCTGGTGGCATCTTCCATTCGCTCCATGGCACTTCTCTTAGCCGAACAGCTCCCTAGTAAACAGGGTGGCTGCAGTGCTCCTGTGTAAAATGCTGATGGGGAAAACAAATGCCGCAGCTGCCTGAGTTACAGTCTCTGCCAAGTCATGGCAGCGATTAGTAATTGGCCAAGGGTAAATTAAATCACTTAATAAGCTATAAAATAAAAAGCTGCTATTGAACAGCCTGTAATAAAATGCAACATGTTTATCTGCTGCTTACAAATCCTTTAGTTTCTTCATTATTTTTTAAGCAAATGTTAAGAAATGTCCTGTTGGAAATTATTACTGTTAACCAAGTAAATCTGTCTCAAAGGTCTTTCTGATAGAAGGACCAGATCTTACTCCTTACAGCTCTGTCTTTTGCAGATCTGTGGCCAACTTACTGTATCGTATGTCTATTTCTCTTATCTTACCCAATTCACTTTCTTCTGGATCCATTCCCTCAGCTACTTCTTTTGCTTCTTTTGGCTTGAAACCAAAGCATGACTTTTGACATCAGAGTTTCATCTCCAGGTGATGAAACGGGATCTCACTTTTCAGTGTTGTTTTGGGGGACCCTATGAAACTAGTTGAAATTCATCCACTGTGCTGAGAGACTAGCAGGGCCTGGGGGGATTTCTTTGAGACCTAAGGCCACATGCAGTCTTGAGTGAGTACCCCAATAGCAGATAGGCTCATGAAAACCAGGTGAGGAGAAATGGTGAATAGGACCATATTAAGAAAATGGATGGATTCCATTTTAGATGAATTGAAATGGATGGATGGATGGATGGATGGATGGATGGATGGATGGATGGATGAATATTCTGTCACAAAAAAGTGTTTCTGTCCAGATATGTTGGACATACTCTCCTTCATACCACTATGTCCACAGAGAACAACTGCACCATGCTGTATAATGCTGTGAGGACATTGTACTCTATAGGAATAGAAGAAGTTGCCTCACTGTTTGGATCTCAGGATGTGGCATCACCTGGTTAACCTTATTTGGGCTCAGAATCTAAACAGGACCAAACCTGGTTAGTATTTGAATGGGAACCTGAGAAATTAAATAGCAGTCTGGAAGAAAGCAATGGCAAACCACTTCTGGACCATTATTGCATGGACATATCCATCAAGTCACCAGGATAT